ATCAAGCTTCTCTGGCCCCAAAGCCCACACACTCAGCCATCCTGCCAGACCTAATTCCACCAAAAGGAAATAAAATGAGAAGTATAAGGAATCAGCTACACATCACAATATAAAGAAATATGTCCAGAGCCACAGAGTTTGCCCAGCAGTCATGGGCTCCCCTGAGGAGGTGTGCCATCAGAGGATGCTCAGATCCAGCCCTTCCTAACACTTCTTCAGACCAGCCCTAATTACCTAGCTTTTTTTGTCCTCCATATTTAAGGGCCACCATCTTTTAGCGAAACGTTGCGGACCAAATATTTCATTTCCTTTATTCCCTTCTTCCTGGCTTCACAAGTGTAGTAAAAAGTTAATGAATCTATAAATTGCTCACTGGCTTAAAATGAAAAAAAACAGTTAATGGAAATTTTAATGAAAACGCCCCATCCGCATAACTGATGGCAAACCCAGGCCCAGAATGCCTGGCACTGCATGGCCCAAACCAAGCGCCATGAAAGCTTGAAAACATTTACTGGAAGAAAGTATATCAGAATTGGAAAGGAAGAAGTAAAACAGCCTCTGTTTGCAGATGACATGATTTTATACATAGAAAATCCTGGAGACTCAACCAAAACACTATTAGCTCTGATCAATGAATTTGGTAAAGTTGCAGAATGTAAAATTCACACGCAAAAATCGGTAGTGTTTCTGTACACTCACCACACACATTCTGAAAAAGAAATCAATCCCATTGATAATAACAAAAACAATGAAACACTTAGGAATTAATTTAATGAAGGCAGTGATAGATCTCTACTCTGAAAACAATCCAAGACACTGATGAAAAAAAACCAAGAGACAGATAAATGGAAAGGTATCCTGTGTTCATGGACTGGAAGAATTAATGTTAAAATGTCAATTTTACTACCAAAAGCATTCTATGGATTCAACGCAATCCTAACAACACTTTTTATAGAAGTAAAAAAAAAAAAACACTCCCAAATTTTACACAAAACCAAGACAGACTCCAAAGAGCCAAAGAAATTCTGAGAAAAAAGAACAAAGTAAGAGGCATCAATTTCCTGGTTTCAAGCTAAACTGTAATAAAAATACAGCCATCAAAACAGTGGGTACTGGCATAAAAACAGACAAGCAGACCCATGGAAGAGAAGGATGTACAGTACCAAGGATGTACAAACCCCAGGATGCACCGTCAAGTAATATTTGACAAGGGAGCCAAGAATACTGAAGAATGCAGAAAAGACAGTCTTCTCAGTAAATGGTGCTAGGACAATACGATATTCAATGGAATGTAAAATAAATGTAAAACAATGAAAACTGGACCTATTGCTTATACCACCCACATAAATTAACTCAAAAATGGGTTAGATTTATTTTTTTTTGTAAATTTATTTTTTATTGGTGTTCAATTTGCCAACATATAGCACTGGATACTGCTTATTCCATCAAGTGACCCCTCAGTGCTCGTCACCCAGTCACCCCCACCCCCCACCTCCTTTCCCCCACCCCTAGTTCGTTTCCCAGAGTTAGGAGTCTCTCATGTTCTGTCTCAAAAATGGGTTAGATTCAAAAGCAAGAGCTAAAACCATGAAACTTCCAGAAGAAACCATACAGAGGACAGGAATAAAGCTCTTTGAAATGGGTCTTTGTAATGATTTTTTGGAAAGGATACATAAAGCACAAGCAACAAAATAAAAAAAAATAAACAAGTGGGAAAACATCAAACAAGAAAGCTTCAAAACAGCAAAGAAACCATCAACAAAGTGAAAAGACAATCTACAGGATGGGGAAAAAAATATCTGCAGAACGTGCATCTGGTAAGGGATTAATAACCAAGATATATAAAGAACTCCTACAACTCAAAAGCAAAAACAGAAATAAATAAAAAATAATCCAATTTAAAAATAGGCAAAGGAGGGGATCCCTGGGTGGCTCAGCGGTTTAGCACCTGCATTTGGCCCAGGGCATGATCCTGGAGTCACAGGACTGAGTCCCACATCAGGCTCCCTGCATGGAACCTGTTTCTCCCTCTGCCTGTGTCTCTGCCTCTCTCTCTGTGTCTCTCATGAATAAAATCTTTTTAAACAGTAAAAAATAAAAATAAAGTAAAAATGGGCAAAGGACCTGAAGCGACATTTCTCTAAAGAAGATATACAAAATGCCAAGAAGTCCATGAAAAGATGCTCAACATCACTAGTCATCAGGGAAATGCACATTAAAACCACAGTGAGATATGTCCCCACACCTGTTAGAACAGCCATCACCGAAAAAGACAAGAGATGATAAATGCTAGTGGGGATGTGGAGAAAAAGGAGCCCTGGTGCACTGTTGATGCAAATGTAAATCGGTACAATCCCTATGGAAGACGGTTTCAAAAAATTAAAAACAGAACCACCATATCATCCAGCAATTCCACTTTGGGCAAGATATCCAAAGGAAACAAAAACACTAACTCGAAAGATATCTGGGGGGATCCCTGGGTGGCTCAATGGTTTAGCGCCTGCCTTCAGCCCAGGGCGTGATCCTGGAGACCCGGGATCGAGTCCCACGTTGGGCTCCCTGCATGGAGCCTGCTTCTCCCTCTGCCTGTGTCTCTGCATCTCTCTCTCTCTCTCATGAATAAATAAAATCTTAAAAAAAAAAAGATATATGGCACTAACCCAAAAAGATATCTGCAGCACTATTTACAATAGCCAAAACACAGAAACAACCTAAATCCATTGACGGATGAACGGATAAAAAAGTTGTGGTATATGTACACAATGGAATATTATTCGGCCATTAAAAAATGAGGAAATCCTACCATTTATGACAACATGGATGCACCTAGAGGTATTATGCTAAATGAAATAAGTTAGAGAAGGACAAATACTGTGTGATTTCATTTATATGTGAAGTCTGAAAGCAAGAGAGAGAGAGAGAAGGCAGGAAGGCAGGAAGGAAGAGGAAGAAAAGAAAGAACCAAACTTAGAAAAAGAGATCAGACTCTTGGTTACCAGAGGTGGAAGGGAGGTGGACAAGGAATTAGAGGAAGACGATCAAAAGGTTCAAACTCACAGTTGTAAGATAAAGAAGTCCCAGGGATGTAATACACAGCATGAGGACTATAGCCAACACTGCTGCACAGTATATAGGAAAGTTAAGAGAATAAATCCTCAGAGTTCCCATCAGAAAAGATTCTTTCCCTTTCTTTTTCTCTTTATTATATCTATGTGCAAAAATGAATTTAGCTGAACCTACCATACTCATTACTCCACAATACGCGTAAGCCAAATTGTCATGCTGTACGTCATAATTTTTTTAAAGATTTTATTTATTTATAAATAAAAAGAGAAAGAGAGGCAGAGATACAGGCAGAGGGAGAAGCAGGCTCCATGCAGGGAGCCCGATGTGGGACTCGATCCCAGGACCCCGGGATCACGCCCTGAGCTGGAGGCAGTCACTCAACCACTGAGCCACCCAGGTTCCCCATATAGCATTAATTATACAGTGATGTGTATCAACTGTCTCTCAATAAAACTGGGGGAGGGGGGGGAATGGGAAAAAACTTAAGAAGAAAGTTTGGGGTTCCAAACTCATGGACATCTGAAAGATGAGAAAGTCTCCTTCGACATGGCACGGTGGATTACATCCACCCTAAAGGAAACGTCGTCAGCAAATTCGATCGGCGAACTGGTAAACCCTGTTGGAGGAAAAGAAAGCAGCACAGGCCCACACGTGTTCTGAGGCACGAAGCCAAAGCTCAGGACTCAACTCCCAAGATGGAAAAAAGTCGTAGTAACTCAAAAGCCACCACATATTGCTGAGACTCCCAAGAGGAGTCCATCGACATAGGGTGGCCCGAGCTCCCCTCCTCTGAAATGCCAGAGTTGACAGGAGAGGGTATCTATCTTATATTTGGGGAAAAGGGCCCTCGGCCATCCAGCTTCATGGTCCCTATTCACAAGTCCTGCTTCCATGTGTGTTCTATGTCAGGCACTGAGCAAGAGCATTTACAGACTTTGCGTCTGGTACGCCCCGTAAACCATGGGATATAAATACAACCACCCTCACTTTAACCTGGCAAAGAGGAGGAGGCTCAAGAAGTCAAGTGACCACCTGGCATCCTCCCAGGGAGACTCAGGCAGTTGGCTGGCACTCATGGAAACTCACCCAGGCTTCCTCCAAAAGCCTCCAGGACCAGCCCTGCAGCCTCCACTCAACACCCTCCGATCCGACAATGCCCCCCTGGAGCCTATTTGGTGTAAGACACAAGTCTGACCCTCTCCTTTGCCTCTTCAGACTCTTCGCAGACTCCCCTCTTCCTGCCAAAGTAAAAACCACCCTCTTCCTCAGCTCCCATCACCCAATAGTCCGGCCACACCAGGGCTTCTGCCTCCTGCCCCCTCGCTCACCCTCCTCCCCATCCGCCTAGTCCCATCCCAGAGCCACCTCCACACCCCCAGCGGCCCTCCTCCACCTCCCATCTCCACCCAGCTACCCCAGGCAGGGCTGGGTCCCCTCTGAGGTGCCCTGGGCCCCTGGGCCCAGCGCTCAGTCGGCCGCCTGCCTGCCTCCTCCCTCAGGCCGGGAGCCAGGCCAGTTCACCCGGCACGGGGCCTGGCCCGGAAGAGAGCCCTGGAAAGCACTGGGAACGGGCGGGGTGGCAGGAGAGGTCTCCCTGCGGTGTCCTGGTCACTCAACACGCTCAAAGCCCGGGCCCAGGGCCAGCGCTGCCCGGCCTCCCCGGCCTCCCCGAGGGACAATCGCCCGGACCAGCGGCCACATCCCTTCCTCTGCGGCTCGCAGGCTCCCGGCCTCTTCATTCTTCTCTGGGCGGCTCCACCAGGATAGAGAGGTCGAGAGCACCAGGTCCGAGAAATGAGGCCCGGGAGCCACGGCGCGGGACGGGAGTGCCCCCCGCACAGGGCCACCTGTCCTCCCGGTGGTCGGGGCCATCGCAAAGCTCCGCGGCCCGCCAGCCGCCCGGGCTCAAAGGACGGCACAGGGCCCAGAAATACCTGGAAATTCTAACAGCTGCTTTTAGTTTCCAGAGATTTTGAGGCCTCTTTCTCTTTGTTTTTCCCCTAAACCAGTTACAATTAGCATTGAGGGATGTAATTACGTTGTTAGTCTAATTGCCTGTTTGAAGCAGGATCTACGGGGGTTTAATGGAAGATGTGAGGGGGAGGGCAGATAAAATAAAAAGTCGGGAGAATCACAGAAGAGCTGGGCCATGTGACTCTCCTCCCAGGTAGAGGCAAGGCCTGAACTGCGTCAGAGGCCAGGGAATTGCCTCCTGCGCCAACGGCCTCGCCCGACGGGCGGGGAACCAGGCTACCAGGCGGCGCGACTTCACTGGAAATTGATTTTGGAGACGCTGACCTAATTAATCAGGAAACGATCTTAGAAAGGCCCTCGGAAGCGGAGCCCTTGCACTATTACTGTCAGTGACACACTTACACACCGGCGGGCAGGATCCTCCCGGGTGGAGCAAGCGCGGTGGCCGCTGCCAGGGCTGGGCGGTGCGGAGCCAGACACCTGCCCGTCGCTGGGGGACAGTGGCCGGGGGTGCGGGGCGCAGCACAGGCCTCTGGGTCCCGGGGACACAATTCGGAGGGACGGTGGCTCTCGCTTCAGGGAATGAGGCCGACTGAGAGGTAGTGAGCGCAACAACAGGGGCATTCGAGTGGGACGATCTCGAGGTGAGGATGCCCAAGAAGCTGCCCCGAGGGAGAACCAAACACCTCGGAGAGGCTCTATAAACAGCTCCCGTCCCCAGGCCGCAGAGGCCAAGGGGTATGGAGGAGAGAAAAGCTCTCCTCACATCAGAGGACACCTCCTGCCTTCCAGCACTAACCCCTTGCGTGGGTCCGCCACCCCGAAGACCCAGCCCCTCTATCTGGGTGGCAGTGGAAATGTTCCTTCTCTAATTGCTTTTTTCCAAATACGGGCAGCAATTTGCAGCAACCAGAAGCTACTTCCATATGGTATCAGTGAAGCTCCAACGCATGCGTCAAGAGCAAGGCCATCTCATGGGCAATTAGGGCCACCACGATGGCCTTGCTGTGCCAGGGCCTTCTCCTCCGCCATCGCATTCAATACCCATTCAAGCCCAACACCTGGCCTGGGGACCGAGGAGCCTGCATTCAAGCCTGATCTCTGCCACTGTCAAGTTCAGAAAACAGGCAGAGGTCCATGGCCCCACGGTCCTTCAGGTGCCCACCCCGGGGAGGAGGGAGGAAGGGGATCACCTCATAGCAAACCCCCAATTCCAAAATGTAGGAAAGCAGGATGCTTCCCTACCAAGCTGGGAAGCGCAGAGAGAATAACTTCACCAGACAGGACTGACCCCGTGTATGCGCCTTCTAAAGCTGCTGCCCCCCAGGACGCCTGGGTGGCTCAGTGGTTGAGCATCTGCCTTTGGATCAGGTAATGATCCTGGGGTTCTGGGATCAAGCCCCATATCAAGTTCCCTGTGGGGAGCCTGCTTCTCCCTCTGCCTGTGTCTCCGCCTCTCTCTGTGTCTCTCATGAGTAAACAAAATATTTTAAATAAAATAAAAATAAAGCTGTTGTCCCTGTAACTACCACAGTGTAGTCGACTCCCAGCTGCCCACCCAGCTCCTGGCACAATTTTTGGTGGGCACCAAAATTATGTGGACGGATAAATGGCCAGAGTGGACACTCAAATGGCCACTACCATGTGCATCTGTGATGCAACGACACGTGTCCTTTTAATCCTGGAAGCTTGGGTCTGAAACATCTCAGTTTCAGGGTCAGAGGGCCTCCAGATTCCTTCCAGAACTTTCCGAGTCCCACAGCCACCCACCTCCTCCGATCTGACAATGGCATAGCTGTGAGGCCTGGGTGCCCTCAGCAATTCTCTTTAAGAGTGAGGCGCGAAGGGATCCCTGGGTGGCGCAGCGGTTTGGCGCCTGCCTTTGGCCCAGGGCGCAATCCTGGAGACCCGGGATCAAATCCCACGTCAGGCTCCCGGTGCATGGAGCCTGCTTCTCCCTCTGCCTGTGTCTCTGCCTCTCTCTCTGTGGCTATCATAAATAAATAAAATTTTTTTAAAAAAAAAAGAGTGAAGCGCGAAGATTTGGGTTTCTAGGCAAAGATGGGACACTCAGATGCCACGGGGTTGGGTAAGGCAGCCTCCCATACCGCGCCTTCTGACTAGCTTGTGCCTGCACGCAAACTGTCATACTCCACATCTCAGGGCTGCCTGGGAGAAATGAGTTCTACCAGTTTTCTGCATTTTCCCCATTCAGGGTTGACAATGGCCATGGAGTGTGCTTGAGGCCCTCAGTACAAAGGGAACGAAAATTCCACTGCGCCATTTATGAGGCTGCACTGCACATATGACCCAGAGCAGAAAGACTCATTGAAATCCAATAAAGATGAGGGGCGGGGGGAGGCTCCTCTGTTCCTGGAGGCCCACAGCATCTCCTTCCACACAATCTGCTTGGCTCTGCCATCGACTGAGGGGAAAACAAGCTGCCATTCTGATGCTCTTTGTCAAGAGCAACAAGATGGCAACTAAGGGGACTTCCTGGCCTCGCCCTTCTCCCCCACATTCCTCGAGGCCTTCAATTTAAAGGCCTTCAAAAGTCTGAGGCAGCTGTGGGTTTCTTGGAAGGGAGTAGCGGGGAGTAAAAGTGTATTTATAATAAAACATAAAAATAGAGCCGTGGCACTTTTTTTTTTTTTCCTAAAGGAGACAATCACTGGCTGTTTCCACGTTCTAACAGGCCGGGAGACCTCATACCTGCTCCGGAGCCTCCACATCAAGGCTGGTTCCAGCCAGAGAGAGCAGCCAGGGAGATATGGAAGGCCCAAATCAGGTCTCCTGAGGGCCTGACCCTGAGCTTGGGAACATAAGTCAGAAATCTCAATTCAGTCTGGCAAGTGGCCATGGGAATTGGAAGGTTCTAGAAGGAGTCTATGCATCAAGCCCTGTGCTGGACTTGACGGATACGTCAAAGGAATTTGCTATCTAGGAGGGCTTAGGTGATGTCACAGGGAAGTCACACAGATACCGTGAGTACAGTATAATCACGTGTACCACCAGGATGCTCAGCAGCTGGTACAGTATCTTACACACATCACCTCTTTTAATCCTTACAGTAATGCTGTGGGGTAGGTGTGCTATACCTCAACTGTCCAGATGGAGCTTCTTGTTCAAGCAGAGGACCCAGGTTCAAACCCAGCTCGGATTCCCAAATTCCCTGGACGATCCCGACCAACCAGTGACCAACGGCGGAGAAGGATTCCCTAAAAGGCCCCAAGGCAGATTCTTTCTCGGGAGAGCCAAATGGGCATGAGCTTGCTCCTCCCTCCCTTCCTACCACAGAGCTGCCCTGAGCCCCACCTCTGAAGCGGGCACTCCATCCACATGCTCTGAGGAAGAGAGGTGTAGAAAACAGCAGGCCTCCACTTGGAAGGACAGAGGAGGGACGCCACCAAGGAAATCCTCAGCACAAAACAAAGACTGGAGAACCACAGCCAGGCAGGAGGAGGCAGGGCTGAAGTGGGGGAGGCCCACAGCTGGAAACAAGTGGCTCTTGGCCATAAAGCCTGGCGTGCAGACAGGAGCCCAGGAAGGTCCCCTGGATAACCTACCACCGGGCTCCCCTTTGGTTCTGCAAATACAGGTGACTGTAAGGACGTGAGACCCCCAGGCTGCACACTGCCCACTGACACAGCACATAAGCACATACTCCACCCACTTGCCTCCACCACACCCCTGCCACGGGTATATTCACACCCACTCCAGAGAGGAGGGAATGAAGCTCACTTATCCTCACTCCTTGGCCTGTAATCGGTAGAGATGTGAGGGGCCCTGACGACGATTAACATCCCAGCCTGCCCCCACCTCGCTTAAGTAATTACACACCGGGTCAGGTCTGCAGGCCCTCCCTGTAGGTACCGCGTCTGCAATCAGGGGAATGAAGGTGGGGCATCTTGAAGGAGCGAAGGGCTGTCTGCCTCTGTGAACTCACATGAAATCCCAGGACTCCCTGTTTCCTTGGAAAACAGTTTCTAGACTTGTCACCTATAAATTGCCTGAATCTTTTTTTTTTTAAGAAGGTTTCCCCTACTTCACTAATTGCTTTCGCTGCCTTTTGCTCCATAAATTTAATTAACCTGCTATGTGACCTTGGGTTAGGCAAGCCACCACCTCTCTTCAAACTCAGTTTCCTTCTCCGTAAATGAGAGTGGGAATCTCTCAGAGCCCTGACAGCTCAACCATTCTGTGACCGGGCTTGGGCTAAGCACGTGACCTTGACGTTCCTGGCTGCTGTGGCCTGGAGCTTCTCGGGGCGCCTGGACCATCTTGCTCTGAACTGCACCTGGCCCTGAGTCAGTGGTGTGAGCTCTCAGGCCCTGCATTATTCTAGATGAAAAGACAGGACGGCCTAACTTTGGCAAAGTCCCCTCTGTCCCTGAAGGACCCCCAAAGCTCAAATTTGCCTCTAACATTTCAGCGGCGCTGCCAGTCCCTGGGTGTAGGAGAAACTCCAGATCAGGGGCTGGATCAAGAGCATAAGCGTGAGGCTGAAATTGTAATAATAATAACTGACATTTATATCACGCCTTTCATCCCCAAATCCCAAATTAATTAACTTTTTACGAGACATTTTTAAACTAGTGCCATTTAATAAAATTCTATTAGGAGAAGTCTTTTTTTTTCCCCCAGCCCTATATTTTTATTAACAGCCACCAAAAATATAATTTACAGCCAACCTAAAGCCAGTCAAGAGAGAGACAGAGAGTGGCTCATTCTGCTGGTAAGAAAGCAGGGGATCTAGTACAGGCCACAGGGCTGACCCCCTGACCTCACTGTTAGGGGTCTAGGTCCTCTGGGGGAGGCGGGGGATGGTGACTCTACAAGACTCAATCTCAGCCTGTACCATTCATCTCATATTTATTGATCATCTATATTCTGCAGCCATTCTAGGAGCTGCTGTGCATAAATCAAGCAAACAAAGCACTCTGGTCCGTGCATTCTTGGGGCACACAACCTGACGAGGTAGAGAATCGTGAAACAGTATCTCACTGGTAA